CTGATTCTGCCCTGTGCCCCACCCCTCAGGACCGCTGTAGTTCTCCTGGGCTCAGTCGGTTAAACCAGAACAGTCTGCCTGCCTGGTGACCCTTAATCTCAAACCTTGTGCCTAGCAGACTAGGTTCTGGAGACTGGGACAGACATCTCGCAGGGAGGGGGTTATTCAGCCCCCTGCAGATGCCAACAAAAGATATACAGGTGGAAATAAAAGAATTCTTGGAATATTAGATACCTTCTCTTCATGGATTACTAAAGGAGGAATCTGTATTTTCCCTGGATTGAAAGCAGAAATGCAGGGGCCAGGAATATAGCTCAGTGGAATTGTACCTGCCTGGCAAGCATGAAGTCCTGAGTTCAATTCCCGGTACCAGAAAAAAAATGAAAACAAAAATGCACAACACATACACATGGCTGGAACCAGGGTGTGAAAAAAGAGCAAAGCCAGGTGCAGTGGTTCACATTTATAATCCCAGCTACTTGGGAGGCTGAGGCATGAGGATCACAAGTTTGAGACCTTGTCTCAAAATAAAAAGGCTGAGGCTTCGAAACACTTAGGACCCTCCACATGTCCCAAGGCCTCAAGGTGGCTGTGGGCACAGCAGGCGCCCCCTGGTGTGGGAAATGGAACTGAGTCCGGGCAGCGAGGCAGACTCCCCAAGATGCGGACTGGAGGCCGGTGAGTGGGAGCTGGGCGGAACTGGCTGTGGAGACTGCATGGTAAAACCCTTCCTGCGCTGGCTTGTCCCCACGGAAGGCCCTGGCAGGTAGGTTGTGTCTGTATGTTAAGCTAAAGAGTTCAATTTCTGTCTCCCATCCCTGCTGACTTCTTGCCCAGAGCACTCTTTCCTTGGAGTCTGATTGTGGTTTGGCCTTTAAAAATCCCCAGGGAATGCGTGTTCCTCTCTGGGGGGTGCTTGTCCCTCTGTGGGTTTCTTTCCATTTTCCAGTCCCACTGGAGGTTCCCAAGGGCCTGGTGAGGACCGGTCAAGCTCTGCATCTCTTGGTTCTTGTGGCGTGTGACGGTATAAGGAGCCTGGGCAGGAGCTGTCTGCAGGGCAGGTGCTGTTCAGCTGGAGAGTTCCCAAAGCCTGTGAGACAGCCTGCAGCGGGAGCCCCATTTCATCTAACGCTTGGAAGCATCCAAGACCCTCAGCGGGGAAGTGGGAGCATGATCAGGACTAGAAAGGAGGTCTGCTGGCGGCCCCCTGGCAGGGCAGGGCAGCGCGTGACACTACCCATGCAGTCGGCACTGGCCCTCGCCCAGTCACAAGGTGCCCTTGGGTACCGCAGCCCAGCAAGGGCAGCTGTGGAGTCCAGAGCCCAGAATCCTAACTCTGGCTTCACTGTTAATTGCTCAATGACCTTTAGCAAATTTAGTTTCCTCTTCTGTAAGAATGGGGATAGTAACTGAACCCACTTTATGAGATCATTGTAAAGGCTGACTGAATTCTTCCCAATAAAGGCTTGAAGTACCTGGCATGAAACAGCTGCTCAATACTGAATCGAAGGGGCTGGGGATTTAGCTCAGCGGCAAAGCGCCTGCCTGGCAAGCGCAAGGTCGTGAGTTCAGTTCCCGGTACCAGAGAAAAACCAAAAAAAAAAAAAAAAAATACTGAATCAAGGGCTAGGGATTTAGCTCAGCGGCACAGTGCCTGCCTGGCAAGTGTGAGGTCGTGAGTTCAATTCCTGATACCAGAAAAAAAGAAAAAAAACCAAAAAACAAAAACTGAATCGATCTTTACACACCATGACCAACAAAATAAATCATAAATAGGAAAAAACGAAAACCAACACAAAACAATTTAAAAATGTAAGAGAAGAAATTAAAATAAATAAATAAATTTGAGCCAGGCATGGTGGCACAAGCCTGTAATCCCAGCACTCAGGAGGCTGAGGCAGGAGGACCACTGGGAGTTCTAGGCCAGCCTGGGGTACATAGCGAGAACTTATCTCAAAAAAACTAAAAAGAGAAAAATCTTAATAAATTTCAATACATAAAAATGAACACTCCTGTAGATTAAAAATAGAAGGTCAAGGAAAACAGAAATGATAAATTAGCAAAAAGACTGCAATGTTTTTACAGCCAGAGTCAATACTATAATGTATTAAAAAGTCAAATTTGCTGGACAAGGTGGCATGCATCTATAATCCCAGCACTCAGGAGGCTGAGGCAGGAGGATCTCTGAGGCTGAGGCAGACTCTCAGGACTGAGAGTCTGAGACCAGCCTGGACTGATAGTGAGATCCTGTCTCAAAAGACCCCTCCCCAAAGTCAAATTTGCAAGAACAAATCTGAATACATTAATAAAAAATAACCAATATACTAAGAAGTAAATGTTCAGTTCTATTTTTCAACAATGAAAATTACAAAGAAATTATAATGAAAAATGTCTATGAAGCAGACCTTAAATATGTGCATCTGGCATATCTTTATATATTTCCTCATGTAGAAATATGTAAAACACTGAAATAACACAGGATCATTTAAGAAAAAACTATGAAACTGGCAGTGACCCACATTCCCAACATAAGGGTTGTGCTTGAAATATCAAATTCTTTGATGGTATACCTTCAAAGACTATTTAATGGCCTTAAATCTCAGACACAAAGCTAAGAGATAAAATGACAGTGTGAACCTACTTGGAAAAAAGCCAGTACAGGTACGTCTATATTAAAGTCTGGGTGAAGTAGTACAAGCTTGTAAGTCCCAGCTACTCCTAAACCTGAGGCAGGACTCTTATAAAGTAAGTTCGAACCCGGCCTGGGCAACTTAGTGAGACTGTCTCAGAATTTTTAAAAATTGTAAATGCTGGGGATGTAGCTTAGCAGTCCCAAGGTTCTGTCCCTAGAACTGCAAAGAACAACAAATCTGAAAAAAAAAATTGGGAAGAAACTCAGTAGCAGTGGATCTGGGTTCAAGGTGTTGATTATAATGATCTTGGGGTGGGAATACACTTTATTTTCAGTGCTGGGGCATGAATTCGCACATGCAAAGCCTGGCACTCTACCACTGAGCTACCTGGTGTGACCCAACAATACAGTCAGTGCTTATACAGTATTTTAAAAATGTATTACAGTAAGAGACAACATGGCCATGAGTCCCTCTCACAATCCGCCCCTTGGTTTTATTTATTTATTTTTTTGTCTTTTTGAGACAGGGTCTCACTATGTAGTTCAGGCTGGCCTTGAGCTCACTTTGTAGCCCAGGCTGGTCTCGAACGCTCAGTAACCCTCCTGCCTCAGCCTCCCAAATGCTGGGATTACAGGAGTGCACCACCACACCTGACTGTATACAGTATTTTAAAACGTGTTACAGTAAGAGGTAACATGGCCATGAGTCCCTCTCACAATCCTCCCCTTGGCTTTAAACACACATCTTGCTGTACTGGCCGCTTTCTGTAGCTGCTCTGGAATCCTCTTTCCTCAGTGTCTTTATCTGTGCTGTCCTGGCCGTCTCCATGTCCTGAATCAATTCAAAACGTTGACCTTTCACGGTCATTTTGACTTTGGGAAGAGCCAGAAGGGCCAGGGTGCCCGATCTGGTGAATGTGGTGGATGAGGACACCCCTTCTTTTTACAAGCTGCCTTTCTGTGGGGTGGGACTCAGCAGCAGCAGTCCCTGTATTTTTCTTAATCACATGTGGTAAAGTTTTATATTCAGGAAAGAGGACTTCTGCAACTGCTTCAAAAAGGGGCGAGAACGATGACATGTGCTCAGGGACTATCTTGAGAGGGATTAATGCCAATATGTCTTACCATAATAAGTTTCAACAAATTTTTAACATTCACCCTTTTTTTTGTTTTTGTTTTTTTGTTTTGACACAGGGTCTCCCTGTGCAGTTCAGGCTGACCTTGAGCTCACTTTGTAGCCCAGGCTGGCCTTGAACTCACAACAATCCTCCTGCTTCAGCCTTCCGAGCGCTAGGACTACAGGCATGTGCCACCACGCCCGGCTCACCATGTATTTTGATCATCCCTGTGTGTATCCTCTCACCCCTTGCTTTATTTTTATTCCCCATAATTTCCTATAATTAACAAATTTTCGGTAATTTTTCCTGAGGAAAAAACCCTCTATACTGGGGACATGACTTTCCTTGTTTTGTTTGTTTGTTGGCACCAGGGATCGAACGCGGGGCCTCCGCATGCCAGGCAAGCACTGTACCACTGAGCCACAGCCCCAGCCCTGGAGAGATGGATTGATCCTCGCTTGGCTACGATGACTCAGCAAGCCCCGGGGTTGCATCTCCTTTCTGCCGCGGACGTTCTGGGGCCACCTCTGCAGCCCGGCACCCGTAAAAACGAGGGGCGACACGCTCGATTATTTGAGGTTTTCCTACTGTGGTTTCCATGCCGTCGCAAGCTCTCCCCATGGATCTGGGGGTCAGGCTAGTTTTGGGGCTGCGACTCCGGGGGCTCTGCGACCCCGCGCCGCCCGCACCTACACCCCCCCATCCCGGTAAACAGAGGCAGGGCCGCTTCTCACAGCGGTACGCGGAGCAAGTGCGTTCGCTGCGCCGCTGCGTCATCGCGTGGCTCCCCGGCCACATACACAGGACCCTCGGGTGCTTCACTAGGAACGGGGCCCTTTGCAATCCGCAAAACACTTGGGACGGCTCTAAGCTGCAGTATTCTGGGCACAGTACCACCACAACTCAAAGCGTCTGACCTCCACATCGTGGTCATAATTCCTCCAAAGAAAGTCCTACATCTCAAGTGCCAACGTGGCAAAAAGGGACACTTCGAGCCAGCCAGGAGTCGAACCTAGAATCTTCTGATCCGTAGTCAGACGCGTTATCCATTGCGCCACTGGCCCTGTGCTGGGCGGACCTGCACCGCGATGCTTGATCGCTTCTGACGCAGCTTCAACAGACTTCCGGACAAGAGCATTCCGTCTCCCCCTAGCATTAGTACCGCTGCGCCTGCGCACAGCTCTCGGGGCGACGACTCTTCCCAGCCCAACGCGCTTCACCAATCTGCGGCGGCTACGTCACGACGCTGTTCGACTCTTTCACTGGTCTCGTGTCAAGACGTTTCTCGCACTGCCTGCCTTACACTAGTTTGTCCCTCACTGCCTCCCGTTCGCGCCTGTTCCTTTCCGCGGGGCGGAGAGACGGCTGGGGAGAGCCGGGAGCTGCGGCCGCCGACGCTGGGTGACCGGTAACGCTGTAGCGGAGGTGGCGGCGCGGGGTGGGGCAGTCGGAACCGAGAGGAAGGAGGTGCTGGTGCATGATGGCGGCGACAACCTACGAGCGGCTGAAGCTGTGAGTCCCGCGGGCTAGGGGCCTGGGGGCGGCGGGCGGGAGCCCTGGGTCCCGGTCGCCCGGCCCTGGTCGCCGCCCGGTCTCGCGCTACCTCGCGCCTGGGGAGAGGAGGGGCCGCACCGACCCCCGGGGCAGCTGGGAGGGGAAGGAGAAGTGTCCTGGTCGTGTGGACCCTCGGCCGCACCTGGGCGACCCCGCGCAGCCCCTGCTCGGTTCCGCCTGTCGGCGCGCGCAGCCGGCTTCCCCTGTCCCGGGCTGCGGAAAAGTTCGCAGTCAGAAGCGGAAGTCCCGGAGGAATTCGCTGCGGTTTAGGCTGCGTGCGCGCGGGCTCTCAAGTCTGTGCGGACAGCCGGAGGCCGATCGAGTTTGCCGTGCGGGTAGACTCGCTGGTGCAGCCGGGACTTGAGTCGTTGAGAGAGAAGCCCTGATTGTTGGAGCTGTACGATCGGTGTTTGCAAGGACTTGGGGTCATCCTGGACAAACAGCAGCGTGCACCTATTTCCCTCAGAGTTATCCTTAGCGCCTACGCTTTCCTCCTCTGTGGATGGTCTTGCTCTGTTCTCTCTAATGCTTTACCGTTAGGCCCTCTGAGAGTTTGGTGCCCACAGAGTAGGAATGTCTTCGGCCGCAGAGACACGTATACTTTTTGAGAAGCTTATCCATCCCTGTGTGAGGCACTTAGGCACAGGTATCATATTTTCTTTTGCAGGCAAATGAGGACATAAAAATGTGGTTTGGGCACTTCTTATGTTTCCCAGAACCTAAGGCTCGCTAGTAACTTTCTGAAAGGTTCCATGTGAATCAGGGATGCAGAATCGGGAGGGAGGACGTCTACTCCATGTCCTGTATTTTTTTTTTTTTTTTTTTTTTTTTTTTTTTTTT